AACCTGTTCAATAGGAAAAAAGGATAGCGATATTTTTGTTGTAGAGTTATAATGAGAATTATAATGAGTTTTAAAAATGTTCGAGATCTATTGTGTAAACAAAAAAACATATTTTGAAAAATCTATGTTTTTAACAGGATAATAGGTTTTTAATAAGATAAAGAATAATAATAATAATAAGAATAAAAATAATTTTTTTTATAATAAATAAAATATCGTGTTTCTTAAACATGTTTTTAATATTTCAAACATGCTTTAAATAGTATTATAAAAAAACATGATTAGAATATATTAAAAATCTTGATTAAGAAACTTTTAAACAGTTTAAAGCATGTTTGAAACACGTTTTCATACGTGAATAATAGAGAAAGAGATATAAATATTTTAAACAGTAAAAATTCTTTGGAGAGAAAATAGCCATTTTTTTAATTAAAAATATTTCTAGCATTCATAACATAGTTATATAAAAATAAATCTTGTTTGGAGAGTTGAATAAATGAAGTGTTTTCCGATGGATTTTTGTTTGCTGAAAACGAATCGGGTCGCGGAAATGGCCTAATTAATGTCAGGTTTTCGAAAAAATTGAGATTAAATATATCAAATTTTGACAATATTTACCATTTTTCTGCTGCCAAAGTAAATTTTTTTTTCGACTTCATTTATGCCACTTTAAAGTGCTATCTGTTCCTTATAAAATAAATTTATATTTATCAGGCACGATTTTTTTTCATATGCATAATTAGCATATGAAGATTGCGCAAAATCGCGTCGCGCACACAAGTTGCCTATAAATTGATAGGCAAAACACAGGTGTAAGCGTTAATAAAACAGTATTCCATTTTAAATATTAACATTATATCATATTTAATTTCAAAAATATTAAGAAATACATTTTCTTAAAATCCTGTCTATACTTTCCAATTTCAATCCGCCATAATGGATCTGCTATTTTTAATTTTGAAATTTTAATATTATTTAAATTCAACAATCAAATTATAACAATAAAATTATGATATTTAGGAAAGTTATTTTTACAGAAAAATAGATCAAAAGGTTCATTTTAGCTGCAGAAGAGTTAAAACTTTCAGTGAAAAATAATAATTGTACTATAAAAATATAAATTTATATTTTATAGATAAAAGATAGCACTTTAAAGTGGTATAAATGAAATTGAAAAAAAATTTAATTTAGCCACAAAAAAATCATAAATACGCCCAAAAACGCCAATTTTGGTATATCTAACCTCAATTTTTTTTGAAAACCCCCGTGTTAGGCCAATTCCGCGGTCGAATTCGTTTTTAGCGAATAAAAATCGGAAAATGCTTCGTTATTAGATCCTAAAAAAGTATTGAACTGAAAAGTATGTAATTAATATTATAATTTTGAAATAAAAAATTTTATTATATGTTGAAGAAACATGTTAATTTTGCCGAAAATTACCGAAAGTAACGAATCCTTATAAATAAATGAAATAAATTTTTAGATTGATTAGATTTTAGATTGATGTCGTATTTCTAATCTCTAATATAAAAAATATAAGAAAAATATTTTTTATCCTTCCTTTTATCTACATTTTAAAATGAAATTTGAATAGAGGAGTTACCGATACTGACATATATTTCCTAAAAAGTCACCCCCTTATTTTCCGAAAATTAACTATTGCATTCTATTGGGTCGTCTGGAAAGTTCGTGCCGATGTTGAAGGAAAATTGAAACGCAGAAAATTTTAATTTAATAAATGTATACTAAAATTTAAATTTTAGTCGGCACGTTCCAGACGATCCAATATTAATACTGATAAAAACGTGATCTATTTAGATAAGTAATTAAAGAAATACAAACTCGTAATTCATATATTTCTGTACAAAATTAGCTAAAAATGAATTATACAAATTGTGAAAATAAAATTTTTACGATTTTTTTTTGCAATTGCGTAGTTTAAATAATAGTGATATTATTTGTAATTATATTATTGGTAATTATTTATAGTTATTAATAATGTTATATCATTTTACATATTTGTAGTTTTCTAAATCAATTTTATTTATATTTTTTTTTCTATTTTTTCATAATATAGTTTTAAATATAAAATTGGAGTGCAGCGTAAACCGGCATACCTGCTGTAAGATAGACCTGATAGACCATAAATTAACTTTATAGTGTTGCGTTATAGTATAGTCCTGGAGTTGAATGCAAGTATGTTAATGGAAAACCGTAAAAAAAGACTGTTGCGTCTTTACACTGTTTGCATCTTGCAAAAAAAGAACAGTAAAATAAAATATGTACATGAATTCTTTTTCGTCGGTTAAGATGATATATACATACATGAACGAAAAATGTTTTATATAAAAGTTTTTATATAAAAGTGAAAAGATTTTAGAAAAATCTTATACACATTTACTTGTAAGCATTTTATACAGATAATCTGTGAAAGAAAAAGAAATAAATTTATGGCATTACAGTCTATGTCAGCTCATTTTGGAATTCATTTTGCCAGACGTTCATTGCTTATGGAAAACTTAATTATGCCAAAACAAATATTACAACTGTATATTATTATATCTGATAGACATTTATATCTGATGACATTTTTTAATCGTATTTATGTTTCTAAAGTTTTATTTTTAGTTTTTGTTTAGAAAACATTATCTTAAAACAAAATATGTCAGTATTGATGACCTTCCTCTCAGTTATTAAAGAATTTAGCCTTTCCTTTGTATTTAATAAGAATTTTAATGGGGAAAATGCAATTAGTCATTGTCCTTTCGCTCTTTGCGTATGAATTTCTAAGATTTGAATAATACCTGCAAACTCAAAGGTCTGGTTTTTTGTCCTTTAAAAAAGTTCTTTGAAATTCTTTTTAAATATAAATTACAAATCCATTAAGAACTAATTCAATAGTATGCTTCGATAATGCCCTTTTTTATTAACAAAATCTTATTTTCAAGAGAGATGATGGCGTAATAAACGACAACGTCAATGTCTCTGGTCTAGCCTAATTGTCTTTTAAATGTTTCGTCATGAAACGAACATTAGCCAGCATGGGGTTGATAACAGGTTCTCGCTGTATCGCTTCCTTAAGAATTCCGACTTGGTGCCACTAATTAACAGTGCAGGGGCCGGGTGTAATTTATGCGCGAGGCTCGTTACCAAACAGGTGGTGCTTGGTGGCTAATGACCTGGAGATACCAATAATTCATTGATTAATGCCGTGCGCTGAATTTGCAAGTCCAGTTATCTCGTATTTTCCGCACCCCGGCAATAATAATTATCAAACACTCAAGCTTTTCGATTGTAGTTCATTCGCTCATATTTTGCACGGAAAATAACAATAATTAAGATTTGTACTTCTATTGATGCGTTTGGGGAAACGCTATTAGCGCTATTCTGTCATTCTATCTTCGTTCTTTATTACACGTAAAACAAGGATAGAATGATACCTTATTTAATGCAGGCAACTATTCTTACCAATTTGATATTTTTCTTTCTTTTATTTCGTATTCTTTGAACGATCTTTATTGCATTTTTATTATGTTGACAGATATGCAATTTTATAACATTTATTTTTTATAACTTTTTAAATTTCAATATTTGATATTATTTTAACTTAAGCTTTTAATTATAATTCCTTTTAATAATGAATTCATTTTAATAATGAATTGAAAAGCTATTATATTAATTAAAAGAGAGAGAGAGAGAGAGAATTGTATTTGTGTTATATAAAAAATAACAATATAAAGTAAGTTTTTTTCGAGAAGTTTCAAGTTATTAAAAATGCACTAATATGAAAAAGCAAAAGTTTACGTATTAATTTTTATCGCAGCCTATCGTAAAATCATGTTGTAGATTTATTAAATCTCATCCACGATCGCACAGACAAGTAACCGCTGAACATTACGAAGTCTTTAAAGTGGACTGGATGAAACAGCGTATAATTAGATAAGGTGTAAGACGTATTTGGAGCGCGGCCATGCTGGCCCGTCGCCAGTGTTCAGCTTTTCGCTATAAACCTACGAAAAGGGTCAAGGGGGTGTCCCTGGTGGAGAGAAGCGAGGAAGCTCTACATTGGTTACATCGGTCGCATTGATCGTATGGTACATGCGATTGGATAATTTCTCAGCCAACTAAAAAGTAAAAAAGGAAAGAGACATTGAATATAATTTTTTTTTCTTTTTGTTGTTTACTATGTAAAAAAGATATTAGTGTTCTAATTTCTGGCTCTGATATGAATAATTATATCATAGTCTACAGATTTGTCTTCATAACATATATTTTTGTGACGCATGCATCGTTTTTATGATACTTTTATTTGAATTTATTTGTTTCATGTTATTTTTCTAATAAAAAAATTGGCTAGAATAAAGATAAAAAATAAAAACAGTTATTTTTATTTATTAATAGTTATAATTTAATCATTATTGGTATCTTCTTTTTATTTTTATCGTACATTATATAAAACTATAATTTTATTACTATCTATTTACTTAACGGAAAACGGTTGTTGGGCAAACTCGTCATAGCAGGTGCACAATGTGTAGAATTAGCTACCATCAAAGCTAGGTTGTGTTAAGCTAAAGCTTTACTTTGGACGCACGCACCACGTTTATCAGGCTACGAGGATTACGCTCCGAAGTGTCGACTCGTGTTGTTATCTACTAATTCCAATTAGCGTCAGTGATCTTCTGTGTTACCTTCAGCTCTAACTTTGGTTGACATATGTCTATGCGAAGGGATAATTTGGATTTCCGTCGCGATGCCGCATTATGCCTGACATATATTTGTGTTAAAAAAAAATTTTTTAAAAAAAGGCGAATATTGCGATGAAAATAATGCTTTTTTGAATGAAAGTGATATAATTATATATTTTATATTATGATAAGAGAAATATAACATCGAAATATATCTATATTTTAACAGTTTTTTATATGACGTTGAAAACACTTATATAATAATTTCCTATTGTGCTAAAATTAATTAAGTGATTTTATTGTTTTAGAGAGTCTCAGGGAGTATTTCACCAAGTACGGAGACATCACAGAGGTTATGGTTATGAAAGATCCCACCACACGACGATCAAGGTAAGTAATGTAAAATATGCATGCATTATATGCAGAACTAAATTATCTTATTTTTTTTATTAATTTTGATGGATTTTTTTATTATTTCTATTTTTTGATTGTTTATCTAAAAATTGAATTTATATATTTCTTACAAATATTGATTTGATGAATCTATTAGAAAATATGTCGGGTACATCTTCACATATGAATAATGTGGTATACATTCAAATGTGCTCGTAAAATTTCATAAAATTTCATAATTTCACGTCACAGCCACGTGTCACTCTTCCGGAAATTTCCATTATATTCTTTATTTTGTTATTAAACGCCGAAAATGTGAATATGATTGACGTGCGAAAGCTTTACTAAAAATAAGTATACTGATCAGCTACCTGAACCTGATTTTTTCATTTTTCTTGTTTTGTTCTTTCCGTTTTATTCACATGAAAGAAAATTATAACAAATAATATTTATAGCAAGGAAATTTATAGCTATCAAAATTAATAATATTTCTAAGCTGTAATGAGATAATTTTAAGAGAGAGAGTGATACAGATTATTTTTAATAATGTGATAATATTAATAATAGTTATGATGTAATTTTTATATTATGATGTAACTTTTTGTAATAATTTTTCAAAAGAAATGTGTTTAAACAAAATTATGCGACCCAAAATGTTTTATGTGGAGTAACTAATGTATTGCGAAGATGCTTATAATAGCGTTTTTGATATTCGCTGCAAAATTAATTCACTGCGTTGTTCACATCACGAGGACTAATGCGCAGTATAATGCAATGATATATAGCGTGCTGCGAAAATCGAGTTTCGGGTCGAGTGTCGCTGTTAAGCAGAAAACAGAGTAACACCGAAGCGGATGGTAAATGCCAGAGCACACCAGCATCAGAGTAATTACCGGTTTTTAAGTGGAGGAAACGAGGGGCGAGTCCGACGACGAGGGTCGAAAGAAGAGGGACTGGTAGGAGGGTCGAAGGGGTGCGTCCAGCCGTTATATACAGTATACTCTGGTGTGAAAGGGAAGCGCGTGCGTCTTATCGCCCATCGAATGTAAAGCTGATATTTTGTTATTGTAAGATCGACACAGAGCGTTGAAGACAGACTTGTCAGTGAGTAAAAACTATAGGTATCATTATTGAAACGTAATGGAAAGGCATTTTAAACGTAAATAAGTTCTCTGGAAGTCTCTGTGATTATTCGATGAATAAATTCGGTTTCAATATTTTATTGCTTTAATCTTAATTTTTATTTTCCTAGATATAAATAAATTATACAGCGATAGATACAACTCAAATGCGTAAAACTTGCTTATACACTTATGAATATTTCAGAAATAATATACATTAGAAAATAATTCAGAAATATAGAAATGATTATTGTATTTTATAATTATAAATAAAGCAGGAAAGGTTCATTAATTAGAACAGCATTACCGTAAAAAGTTCTATTATATTTTTTGCAATATTATATAATTAAAGTACAATCAATAGAATGTAAATCTAAAAAATAACACATGTAAAAATTATTTCTCTCTCAATTATATACATTTAATTTTAATTAAACTTTCTTTCGAAATATTTTTCTATTTGCAACTTTAAATTGTGAATTTTTCTACATTATAATCTTTCTTTCTGTAGACTTTTCATATTTATCTCTTTATTTCTAGCTATTCTATATATAATTATATTTTACCTATTCAATCTTTTTAATTTTAAATTTTATGAATTTCATAGTGCACAGATCTATTATGTATTTAAGTCCTTAATATCCGCCATTATCAACACTGAAGTCTTTACATTATAAAAACGCGCCGTCAAAACGTTTGTGCAGCGATAATCATAGTCGAATTGTCGCTGTTTAAATTGCCGTCTCTGGCGCTTATGCGCTGGTTACCTCTTGTGCCGTGCATTTCTCCGTCTAATTAATTGGCCAGAAACTTTCGGGCCATGCCCGCCAACCTTCTCTAATTATTCGTTCCTTTCATTCCCGCGGGAGGAGGGGGAAGGAGTAGGAGGTTGGGACACGAAGAGAAGGAACTGCTGGACAACAAAACGAAACAGGGGACAACTTACTTCTATCGAGTTACAAAACACAAGCAACAGTCGGGCCTATTCGCATCAGCTTATTAAGCGAAAATAAAGCTCGTAAAATCAAAAAGCATTTCCCACACCCTTTCGGCTCCTTGCATTTATTCATGATTTTCTTTCTTTTTCCCTCTTCCTCTGAATTTTTGTAAATCTGCTCCCTTCTAATCTCTTCTTCCATCCATGTCCTGGATAGTTTGAAGTCCGCTGACAATTAAGAGTTTTGTTCTCTCTTCCTTCCACCGACGAGCTCGTTATGAACACGTCGAGCTAAATTCGTTTCATCACGAAAGGAAAGGCCGAAGATTGAGATGATTTAGCATTCGGAGATTAACAGAAGTATCTTCTTATTATTAGTCCGAAAGAATTACACATACGATGATTTGTTCTTACACTAATAGTAAGTGCTGAATAAAATGTAAAGAATCTTTCTGATTTCTTTAGGGAGATAATCTATTTATTTGAAGAACATTAAAAATGCAAATAATATTTTACTAGCAAAATCTACATTGCAAGATTCGTGAACTCCATGAGTTATCGTTATAGATTAATCGAAATGTGCCGTCGATAGATTTAAATTTCTTTCGTCGTGATATAAACGAGGTATTTCTCGGGTAGGTGGAGATCGTTTAAGGGTTGGGCGCAACGGAGATGGCGAGTGGAGGAGACCGAATGGAGAGATAGAAGGGACCGTCCGGGAACTGGAGCGGTTGAATCCCTCAGCGCCACGTCGTAGCTCATATCTGCCGCAAGGGGACGCGAATCCTGTATGCAGGGGTTGAGGCATGGGGTTACTCTGCGGGTTGTAAATTAATGGTTAGCCCGTGGCATGGTGGGGTTCGGCCTAAGGGTTCTGGTTGATCTATGGGCGGCATGTGTGCCAGGTCAAACGGGCCTTGCCCACTGATACGGCGAAAATCTCTCTCTCTCTCTCTCTCTCTCTCTCTCTCTCTCTCTCTCTCTCTCTCTCCCTCTCTTTTTCTCCCTCTTCTTTTATTTTATTCTGTCTTGCTCTTGCTTTGTCATCCTCTTTCTATCTATTGATTGCGCTGGAGTATAAAATCGATAACATTTTTAATAAAACTGCTTGCAACGAATAAAAGCAAGATTATCAGTGGATACAAAAACAAATATTTGAACGAAGAAATAATTAGATAATTTAATATGTACATTTGACATCATCATTGCATATACTTATAATTATGAAAATTCATTAGATACTTTATTATCCAAATGGTTGATTGTCTCTTATTTCTAAAAGATTTTTTTTTTTCTAAATGATGGTTAATAAAATCGATCGTTTTCGTTATGCAATAAATGAAATAGTTAATAATTTTGCATTAAATTTAATTTTTAAAGATTTTAAAGTTTTAAAGAA